AGGGGTAACTGTTCACTGTCCATCTTTGTCATATACAATGCACGGAGGGGCCATGGTTTGTCCCCTATCAAAAGTTCAAGGTCAATCAAATGTGGCATCACGAATTGTACGATTTCCAGAAGCAGTGAACTATCCTATTGCAGCATTTAAATAAGTTTAGGTAGGTCAAGGATACTGTCAAGGTCAAGGTCGGATTACTTCCAGTGGATTTACAGGTCATTCACTTGCAGGGTTTGCACGAACTGAAGACATTATTCGATCAATATAAGTGAGTGAGTTTAGTTTTACCCCGCACTTGGCAATGTTCCAGCTATATGGCGGCCTTCTGTAATAATCGAGTCTGGACCAGAAAATCCAGGGTTCAACAGCATCAACATCGATCTACGATGACGTGTGTCAACCAAGTCAGCGAGCCTGACCACCCGATCCCGTTAGTCGCCTCTTACGACAAGCTTCGGCTACTGAAGTTCAATTCTAGCTCGGATATTCACGGGTATGATCAATATAAGAATCGTTCATGTAAGTACATACCGAAACTCTTACTATGTTTGGTGGAATCGAGCGCCGGTCTTGTTCTTGTTTGACGATCCCGTTTTAAAGTCACGTCTCCCTTCTGATTGGAAGTTACTGACCGGAAGCACAAAATATATATTTAGTAAACAAATTGGTTGGTTTTGTTTAAAGCTGCACTCAGCAATGGATGTGATGTCAATCACAGGATTGTCTGGTCCAGATTACATACGGCCCACTTCCACACAGCTGGGATATTCAGTGTGGCGTTAAGAAACGAACAAACAAAAACAAACCAAACACACATATATGGGTGACCTACAGAGTCATTGCATTATTTTCTGTTTTCCATTCCAGGAGGACAGAAGGAATACCCTTTAGCATTCAGACTTTAAATCGACGCAAATAGCTGCAGTACTGCTCATGGGAAGTTAAGACATCTGGCACCGGGAAAGATCTGGGTTAGAATTGGTCTTCAACAACCCCCGATTGTCGTAAGAGGCGATTAAGTGGACCAGGTAGTCAGGCTCGCAGACTTGGTTTGCACATCGTATCCCAGTAACGTAGATCGATACTCATGCTGTTAATCACTGGATTGTCTGGTCCAGCTGGGATATTGCTGAGTGCGGCGTTACACAACAACCAAACCAACAAGACATCTCGCAAAGACACTAATACATCTGGACCCAATACACACTATCCTAAAACAATTTAGATTCACAATGGATACGTTTTCTAGGCATCTCACCTTTGTATGGGAGTCCGAAAACATAGACTTCACACAGGGACAAAGTGTCACCCGGTACTTTTGGGTTTGTCTTTTTCCTCAGGCGGACGTATCTTCCAATTACTGGTGACAGGCAGTCCACTTCAATCTTTCGAGAGACGGCTCTTTTCAGGAAAAAACACAACAATCCCGGTCGCGAAATGTCTTTAGGGTTGTGACTCACTACCTCAATCGTTGTGTCATGAATCTGGCCTGTTAACAATCATAAACATGGCTTCTGTGAATGGCATTTTTAGAAGTTTGAGAGTTAGATAAGGCCAAACTTTATTGGTGAACAACTTCTTTATTCAGGTGATGCGACGTTTGATACAGATAAAGTATGGCCTTACCATAAACATGATGATTAAAAACTCGTTTCAATAATAATCGGAAGGCCTCGTCGTTTCCTAAATTTCACTGCTAAACTTATAAAGATGTAAATCATAAATATTGTTTTTAAGTTCTGTTAACAATCATAACCATAACGATTAAAAACTCGTTTCATAAACGATGTCAAATCGTTTAATAGCAAACGGAAGGCCTCGTTGTTTCTTAAATTTTACTGCCACACTAAGAGATGAAAATCATAAATATTGTTTTTAAGTTTTGTCATAAAGTTAGCTTCACGATTTTAGACCACTTGTGACCGTTATCCGTCGATTTAAACACATAGAAAGAAGATATTTCCTTAAATGATGACAAATATGATTGCTTAATGTGAATGTCTGTTGTAGACTAGTCCAACAATACCAATCAAACTTAGCATTTAATTCAAGGGCCATCCATTCCAAAACACATTTATCAAACTTGGCTTAAGAACAAATTACTTAAAAAAGGGGTAAACACTCACTGACTTAGATTTTCAAATTCCAACCCCATTTAACAACGCATTACATCCCTTTAACTTTCAGCACATATTACAATTCAAGACAAATCTTATGGATAACAACTTCTTGGTGTATTTTTCACGTTTCTGGGCTAGTTCTTGCCCCTTCTTTAAGTGAAAGAAGGGGCAAGAACTAACAAAGAAACGACAATAATAAACCAAGAAGTTCTTATCCATAAGATTTAATCTTGTATTACTACCCCAAGTTCTAAATGCCTGTGAAGAATTTCACATTACAATTATTCTTCACTCTGATTTGTTTGTTTGTTTGTTTGTTTGTTTTTTAATGCCACAAAGAGCCATATTCCAGCTATATGACGGTGGTCTGTAAATAATCGAGTCTGGACAACCCACTCCAGTGATCAACAGCATGAGCATCGATCTAGGCAATTGGAATACGATGACATGTGTCAACCAAGTCAGCGAGCCTGACCAACCCATCCCGTTAGTCGCTTCTTACGAGAATCATTGGTTTTCTGTTGTCATACAACGAGGTTACGTGACGTACCATAAAGTGGATGATGTATTATTCGAACACCATGGACTTGGCATATTCGTCCCAGATCCACGAACCACCACGGATCCTTTTCAACGTACACTGTTCCAGCCCACGTACATTGCCCAGTTGCCTGCAGCTTGTCTCGACCATCCACTGTCATCGCTGGTTTGTGTAGATGGTCTTTCCATACACTGCTCATTTTCACAGTTTTACGCAGTGCAAGGTTTCTGTAGATCCCTGCAGACTTAGCTTTTAAAGAAAAAGAAATACAGGTAAATGGAAACGAGTTCACAAATTCTTGATCCTGAAGCAACGCCTTTACTGACATTTCTAAAAGGCCCGGCAAATTTTCGCATACCACGTCGCATTTCCAACATGATATTTTCTCGTAGAAATCAAAAAGCCTTCTGTTATTAATTTCTTTCGTTTTGAGAATCTCAGATTCACCAATATTTTGTTTCAAGGATTATCAGCATAATACCCGTCCATGATGAATTCACCAAATGGTAACCATCTAATTTACGGGGTAGCCTTGTGGTTAAATAGTTCGCTCGTCACGCTGAAGGCCCAGGTTCGATTCCCGACATGGGAACAATATGCCATGCCCATTTCGGGATTCCCCGCTGGAGCATTGCTAAGAAAACCTCTTAAAACCATACACACTCACTCACTGACTGTAACTTGTAACATCCATTAAGCAACCCGGATTCTGCAACGTGCGGAACATCTACGGACTATTGGTTGCTGGAAACTGGTAGAGGTCTGCATGCAGGGGCCAATATGTTCATGTTCCACAGTCGATAGAAAACATACCGACATTGGTGAAAATGGCATAAGACCATACAAGCTGTAACACGTAACATCAATTAAGCGAGCCGGAGTCTGTTACGTGCGGAACATCTACGGACTGTTGGTTGCTGTTGGTCGGATAAATCTGCATACAGGGGCCAGTATGTCCATGTTTCAATCTGTGATTTGCAGACTGCACTGCGAACTGGTACAAACAAACCAAAACTCTTGACGATCGACCCTGTTTAAGGCGTCAGAGGTTAAAGACAAGAGTGTATGATCACAGATCCAAAACCAGGTACTGACAAAGAAAATACTGCAAAACTTTCTTCAGCGTAGTACGAGTCAGGCGATTAGAAATCGTCTACGTTCAGCTCATACCTGTGCTCAACGACAACGGCTTGTGCAGCTCCTTACATGTCGTCAAAGTGCCAATAGACATGAATAGTGTACTAAATGTCAAAAGTGGGTTATCGTTCCTGGTCACATCTCATAGTTTCAAATGTTTCCCTACCACCCCTTGATAGATGTGACCATGCAAAGTCGAAAAAAAGGGTCTGTTTCACGTGTGACCTCGTGACAAATTTGAGGTGTTCCCAAGGGTAAACTGTTCACTGTCCATCTTTGTCATATACAATGCACGAAGGGGCACATGGTTTGTCCCCTGTCAAAAAGTTCAAGGTCAATCAAATGTGGCATCACGAATTGTACGATTTCCAGAAGCAGTGAACTATCCTATTGCAGCATTTAAATAAGTTCAGGTAGGTCAAGGATACTGTCAAGGTCAAGGTCGGATTACTTCCAGTGGATTTACAGGTCATTCACTTGCAGGGTTTGCACGAACTGAAGACATTATTCGATCAATATAAGTGAGTGAGTTTAGTTTTACCCCGCACTTGGCAATATTCCAGCTATATGGCGGCCTTCTGTAATAATCGAGTCTGGACCAGAAACTCCAGGGATCAACAGCATGAACATCGATCTACGATGACGTGTGTCAACCAAGTCAGCGAAACTGACCACCCGATCCCGTTAGTCGCCTCTTACGACAAGCTTCGGCTACTGAAGTTCAATTCTAGCCCGGATATTCACGGGTATGATCAATATAAGAATCGTTCATGTAAGTACATACCGAAACTCTTACTATGTTTGGTGGAATCGAGCGCCGGTCTTGTTCTTGTTTGACGATCCCGTTTTAAAGTCACATCTCCCTTCTGATTGGAAGTTACTGACCGGAAGCACAAAAATTATATTTAGTAAACAAATTGGTTTAATTTTGTTTAAAGCTGCACTCAGCAATGGATGTGATGTCAATCACAGGATTGTCTGGTCCAGATTACATACGGCCCACTGCCACACAGCGTGGATATTCAGTGTGGCGTTAAGCAACGAACAAACAAAAACAAACCAAACACACATATATGGGTGACCTACAGAGTCATTGCATTATTTTCTGTTTTCCATTCCAGGAGGACAGAAGGAATACCCTTTAGCATTCAGACTTTAAATCGCCGCAAATAGCTGCAGTACTGCTCATGGGAAGTTAAGACATCTGGCACCGGGAAAGATCTGGGTTAGAATTGGTCTTCAACAACCCCCGATTGTCGTAAGAGGCGATTAAGTGGACCAGGTAGTCAGGCTCGCAGACTTGGTTTGCACATCGTATCCCAGTAACGTAGATCGATACTCATGCTGTTAATCACTGGATTGTCTGGTCCAGCTGGGATATTGCTGAGTGCGGCGTTAAACAACAACCAAACCAACAAGACATCTCGCAAAGACACTAATACATCTGGACCCAATACACACTATCCTAAAACAATTTAGATTGACAATGGATACGTTTTCTAGGCATCTCACCTTTGTATGGGAGTCCGAAAACATAAACTTCACACAGGGACAAAGTGTCACCCGGTACTCTTGGGTTTGTCTTTTTCCTCAGGCGGACGTATCTTCCAATTACTGGGGACAGGCAGTCCACTTCAACATTTCGAGAGACGGCTCTTTTCAGGAAAAAACACAACAATCCCGGTCGCGAAATGTCTTTAGGGTTGTGACTCACTACCTCAATCGTTGTGTCATGAATCTGGCCTGTTAACAATCATAAACATGGCTTCTGTGAATGGCATTTTTAGAAGTTTGAGAGTTAGATAAGGCCAAACTTTATTGGTGAACAACTTCTTTATTCAGGTGATGCGACGTTTGATACAGATAAATTATGGCCTTACCCTTAAACATGATGATTAAAAACTCGTTTCAATAATAATCGGAAGGCCTCGTCGTTTCCTAAATTTCACTGCTAAACTTATAAAGATGTAAATCATAAATATTGTTTTTTAAGTTCTGTTAACAATCATAACCATAACGATTAAAAACTCGTTTCATAAACGATGTCAAATCGATTAAAAGCAAACGGAAGGCCTCGTTGTTTCTTAAATTTTACTGCCACACTAAGAGATGAAAATCATAAATATTGTTTTTAAGTTTTGTCATAAATTTAGCTACACGATTTTATACCACTTGTGACTGTTATCCGTAGATCAAAACACATAGAAAGAAGATATTTCCTTAAATGATGACAAATATGATTGCATAATGTGAATGTCTGTTGCAGACTAGTCCAACAATACCAATCAAACTTAACATTTAATTCAAGGGCCATCCATTCCAAAACACATTTATCAAACTTGGCTTAAGAACAAATTACTTAAAAAAGGGGTAAACACTCTCTGACTTAGATTTTCAAATTCCAACCCCATTTAACAACGCATTACATCCCTTTAACTTTCAGCACATATTACAATTCAGACAAATCTTATGGATAACAACTTCTTGGTGTATTTTTCACGTTTCTGGGCTAGTTCTTGCCCCTTCTTTAAGTGAAAGAAGGGGCAAGAACTAGCCCAGAAACGTTGTGAAAAATAAACCAAGAAGTTGTTATCCATAAGATTTGTCTTGTATTACTACACCAAGTTCTAAATGCCTGTGAAGAATTTCACATTACAATTATTCTTCACTCTGATTTGTTTGTTTGTTTGTTTTTTAATGCCACAAAGAGCCATATTCCAGCTATATGACGGCGGTGTGTAAATAATCGAGTCTGGACAACACAATCCAGTGATCAACAGCATGAGCATCGATCTAGGCAATTGGAATACGATGACATGTGTCAACCAAGTCAGCGAGCCTGACCAACCGATCCCGTTAGTCGCACTTACGAGAATCATTGGTTTTCTGTTGTCATACAACGAGGTTACGTGACGTACCATAAAGTGGATGATGTATTAGTCGAACACCATGGACTTGGCATATTCGTCCCAGATCCACGAACCACCACGGATCCTTTTCAACGTACACTGTTCCAGCCCACGTACATTGCCCCGTCGCCTGCAGCTTGTCTCGACCATCCACTGTCATCGCTGGTTTGTGTAGATGGTCTTTCCATACACTGCTCATTTTCACAGTTTTACGCAGTGCAAGGTTTCTGTAGATCCCTGCAGACTTAGCTTTTAAGAAAAAGAAATACAGGTAAATGGAAACGAGTTCACAAATTCTTGATCCTGAAGCAACGCCTTTACTGACATTTCTAAAAGGCCCGGCAAATTTTCGCATACCACGTCGCATTTCCAACATATTTTCTCGTAGAAATCAAAAAGCCTTCTGTTATTAATTTCTTTCGTTTTGAGAAATGCACGCCAATTACATCCTCATGGCAGATTAAAGTACCTTGTCTGCTGGGAAAGCAAATGGAAACGAGTTCACAAATTCTTGATCCTGAAGCAACGCCTTTACTGACATTTCTGAAAGACCCACCAAACCTGCGCTCACCACGGCACATTTCTAGCATGATATTTCCTCATAGAAAACACAAAGCCTTCTGTTATTATTTTCTCTCGTTTTAAGACAGGCGGTGGGGTAGCCTAGTGGTTAAAGCGTTCGCTCGTCACGCCGAAGTCCCGGGTTCGATTCCCCACATGGGTACAATGTGAAGTCCATTTCAGATGTTCCCCGCCATGATATTGCTAGAATATTGCTAAAACGCGTAAAACTAAACTCAGTCAGTCAGTCAGTCGGAAACCTGAGTTATGGTGATAACGTATGATGTACGTGCAGGTATGTTAGGTTGTTGTTTTACGCCGCACTCAGCAATATCCCAGCTGGAGTAGTTAAATAATCCAATCTCGACAACACAATCCAGTGATCAACAGTATCTAAGCAATCGGGATACGATGACATGTCAACCAAGCCAGCGAGCCTGAACACCCGATCCCGTCAGTCGCCTCTCTCGACAAACATGGGTTGATGACATGTAAACACTCACTCTCGTTTTGAGAAAAGCACGCCTATTACAACTCCATGCCAGATTGAAGTACCTTGTCTACTAGGGGTCATTGTCCACAGTGACTTGTCAATGGCTTGAAGAAATATTAAGCATATACTGAAAACCTGCGTTCCCTATAATAAAGATGTTGACACATGGACATTTCTCTTCTGGTTGTGTATTTGTTTGTTGTTTAATATTCCAACTACATCCAATGTCGCGTCCCATTGGCGTGCCAGAAAACTGAACCCCAAATTCCCCAATATGTTGTATCAAGGGTTATCAGCATAATACCTGTCCATGAGGAATCCACCAAATGGTAAACATCCAGCACCTGCATTTGGAGTTTCCTCCTACAATGTTCCAGCATCTGGGTTGCTTCGACATGCATGCAAGCACCTTTATGTCTGTAACACGTAACAGGCTAGCCTTGTGGTTAAATAGTTCGCTCGTCACGCTGAACTCTCGGGTTCGATTCACACGTGGTTAAAATGTTTGAAGCCCTTTCTAGTGTCCCTGCCGTGATAGTACTTGAACATTGCTAAAACGGTATAACACGTAACATCCATTAAGCGACCCGGAGGCTGCAACATGCGGAACGTCTACAGACTATTGGTTGCTGGAAACTGGTAGAAGTCTGCAGGCAGGGGCCAGCATGTTCAAGTTTCAGTCTGTGATTTGCAGTAATAAGCCACTGGCCTAAAGTACAAGTCACAAGCGTTTTACAGAAAAAACATTAGATTTTTTTATTTTCCCAAAATTATATAAAAATAGGCATACATTATTTATAACATTTATGTTTGTTGACAAACTGTGTTGTGATCGAGTATGTTTTACATATTTATCGAGAAATATATTCTTTGTATCTAGGTATGCTTTACAATAAAGTAAAACATGTATATCATCTTCAATCAAATTAAGATTAAGTTTTTGGCAAAAAGGACAAAATCTTGAATCATAAGGGACATTGTTATATCTACTGGTCTCAGAACTAAGTTTAAGATTATCACATCTAACTTTTGTCAAACAATTTCTTAAATATGGGGCAAGTTTCAACATTGAGGAGGGATATGAAGAAAACTTCGATGCGAAGATCACGTGATCGACTGCACATGCAAAAGCTGATTTGGCACTAACGTCATTTGCACGACGAATGGATGGGTTTGAGTGGGTTTTGCTAATGTTTTTCTAGAGTGGAAAGATAGGGGATCCCATTTCGGATACATAGATGTATCATCAGAGAAAAATTATTCATTATTTTTCAAATTACATTTTGTGAAGTTTCTTTTTTGACTCAGTGTACATTTCATGGGTTTAAAGTGCACGTCCAAGGAATTATCCGATATCCAATTGAAAACCATTTCGTAATTTTGTATAAAAAAACCGATGAACAACCATCATCCCAACGTAATGCTAGCCGATCTCGGGGACACGCTGGGATTCGATCTGCCGGCGAGGAAACACCTTGTATGTCCTGCACATAAAAGACAACCTATACGAGTGGGTGTCACTAGCAGACTTCAAACAGCCAGACTGGTTGATCAACATGACCCTCACCTCACCCCACATATCTTTTAAAAACAATGGTTACGTCTCCAAAATTACGAACAACGGGATCCTTCTCACGTCTTTCACACCAGAGTTTGATGTACAAGTTTTACGAATACCGGGTCACACGGGCAACATGTTAGCTTCAAACGATGTGGCTTCATATTTACGGTTTGACGTAATTACCAACGGGATTTTTTAAATTCAAATTTGACTATCAAATCACACACCACGCTCGTAGTAGATGTCTATCTCGCTGACGCTCGTGGGTCAGAATGAACACTTTTGACTGGGTTGATAATACGCTGGTTCACCAGACACAATCACCAACTGTGTCGTATCGTCATAAGACCGGGATCAACACCCTTAATAAGCTTCGATGGAGTGCGTGTTCGATTCATGTCTCGAATATTTATGTGTACGATAATCTAAACCTTATCAGCCTGAAATACATCGATAGGATATTAACGGAAAACCAATTAAATACTATTTTATAAAAAATATATATATACACACACAGGATGGGACTGTACCCAGTTGTGGATGAAGTAGCAAAAACACTGGAAACTGCCGAGAAATGCGTTTCATTCACTTTCAGACATCTGTAGCCTCGATAGTCAGCATGTCGTGCATCATCATAGCCGAGCCGAGAGACACACACACTTATACTCGTCCACGGCGCTCACTCAAAG